TGAGATCAGGGGGGAGGATGTACAGGCAGATAGTGAATTGAGGGTGTGCAGGCAGATAGTGATGTCAGAATGGAGGGTGTTCAGGCAGGGTTAGTGTCGAAGGTGTGCAGGCAGACAGTAAGGCCAGGGCAGTGGGTGTGCAGGCAGATAGGTCAGGGTGAGGGGTGTACAGGCAGACAGGCAGTGCAAGAAGGTGTGAAGGGTGTGCAGACTGGCAGTGCTTTCAAGGTAGATGGTGTGTAGAAAAGCAGCGCTGTCAGGGTGCGGGGTGTGCAGAAAGGCAGTGTGATCAGGGTGGAGGGTTGCAGACTGCTTTAAGGCAGCCCATTCATTCTGAATTGGCTGTCAATGCACTGCAAGACATGTTAAAACACACCTGCTCCATAGTGCAGCTCTATGACAGTGTTCACCTCTGTGAGTTTTGGTGCTCTATAACACAGGTGCATTGTATATATGACTAGTGGGGTCATTTAAAATAAAAGGCACTGCACCACAGTGCACAGACATATGCCAGTGCGTTAACCTGCATTGCGGTAATGTGCACTGTAATGAACATTTTACCGCATGTTACTGCAACTCACTGGTCTGAATGGGCTCTGAGACATTGTAACAGGTTTTCATCTGGACAACAACTAACCAATGTAAGGAAAACACCAAACTACAAAACAGTAATAGACGGGTAAATAAATAGTCAGAGCTCGATAAGGTAAAATACTCATTTTTATTCTATAGCGTCAATCAGAAACGTACAGATTTATAACCCTCGATTTGCAGTCACACTCCTCTTCCCATCCAAAAAGCAAATGTTTATTACAAATGATAAGAAGCCCCAGCCAGTCTTACACTGTCAATAGAATACGTTTTCAGCTTATATTATTGACCCTGTATTACCATATACTGCACTTCCTTCGAATGTTCCAACCAAAAAATATGTTTTCTTCATTTCAAGTATTTGTTGTTTTTTTCTATGGTCTAAGAAGTGTTTCAAAGCTCTGAGCTCCATAATATGTATAACCTTAGTCTGCAAGACATTTGTGTAAATAAAAGATACATATGTGGGATTTAATTAAAAAGTGTGAATATTATATCCCTGATAGCAGAATTCACCAAACACAGCTGGTGCTTTGGTAAACGTTTATGGAATTTAAACTACATATAGTGCTTAGAGGTCTCATCATAAACAATCAGCAGGGCCCTTCATTCTGTAAGTATATCTGAACATTCGTTTTGGGCGAATAATGGCAAAAACAAATGTTCTTAATATATTGTTTTTTTCCAATTCGAATGTAGTGCTGTAATAATAAAATACGGTCACTAGGCGTTTCCCAGTTCGAATGTAGTTGTTTTTTTTTTGTAATAATATATTATGGCCACTAGATGGCGTTGAGGAGCAGTAAACAAACACTTATTCCCTATGCTTATCAGCGCCATCTAGTGGTCGTAATGTATTATTACAACACAATATTCTTACTGTCCTAGGGTGACAACGCTCACTCACCATACTGTATCTATGCAGGAGCAGCATTGTTACCCTAAGACAGGAAGTCTGTTTTCAGATGTGTTCTGTATGTGCCGATGAACTGGAAGCAATGTATCTGATAAGAGTGGCGCACAAGCAGAGAGCACAGGAAGTTATCAGCTGAATGGCTTTCTAGCAGGATCAATAGGTACTTTCTTTTACTATTATTGTACAGCTATAACAAAATGCTTTCAATGGAATATGTATCAGACCGAAAGGAAACAAATAAGAGAAGATCATAATTAGGGTTTTCATACACTGAGGGGCTCATGTATAAACCTTCCATCCAGTGAAAGCCGGGTGAATGCTGTTTATACGGCGTTATCACCACTAGATGGTGCTGAAAAGCATAGGAATAGGATCCTCTGTGCCCTCTAGTGGTGGTAATGCCGTGCAAACGACAGAAGGTTTATACATGAGCCCCTTCAAAGTATAACCATTCACAATTGAAAAACGTCAGTGTGAAATGCAAATCCTGTAGGAACTTTAGCAATTTTAAAAGACTCTCTAGAAACATTATTAATAATAGAAAAGAAAAAACTTTACTGTTTATAGTAATTGAAGTAATATTGTAATTTCTGCAAATACAAAGCATTTCATAGTCCGCATATACTAGCAGTTCCCAGACAGTGGAGAGTCTCAGCGTATTAGCAGCTGCTTTTGGAGCCTAAAATAAAGATTAATGAGGTTTAAGGGTAAAAACCTGAATGTTTAATTATTAGATGAAGTTCACACGTGATTGAACGCCCTGCCGTTACCTGATTGGTGGAAACACCCGTCAATATTAAACCCTCTATATTTTTTCATGTATTATGAGCTGATTGTAGCTGCAGTATCTGCTTTACATTAAAATCATGAAACATATAAAAGCTTGATATATATATATATATACTGTATATATACTGTATATGCCTCACCACATTCACACTATGGAAAATAAGCATCTCTTATTAAACATTTAGGAGTTTTTGTTCAAGTCAAATTATAAATCAAGGTGCTGCCAGAAGCAAGAATTAAAATATTTGTTAGAATTCTGACGCAAGAAAATATATATATATACAATATATGACATCATACTGTGTGCTACAAAATTACTACTTCCTTACCTTCAGCATTTCAAACAAAAGCTGAACTCTATGGGGGGTGTCTAATCAAACATTCACAGAGCCATTCATCCTGCAAATCTGCTTGTACATTCATTCTGTGCGAGTGTGGCTAAAAACAAATGTTATTGGTATGTTTTCTTTCCAGGTCCAGTGTAATTAACTGTTAGAGTGAATCAGGAAAATGCCACAAAATGGCCACTAGATGGAGCCGAGGAGCATAGGTAATACGTAGGGATGCACAGATACTGGTATTTCGGTATCGAGTACGATTCCCGATATCATTTTTCCAGTACTCGCAGATACAGAATACTGATACTGGAAGTCCCATTAAGGAAGCCAGGCGGCGTGTAAAGACTCACCACCCAGCTTCCCGATTAGCAGGGAAGCCGTCCCCATGCTTCCCGTCACTAGGTCACTAGTCACTCGTCACAAACCAAAAAGTCACTCGCACTCCATAGCAAATAGCGGTCAATGTCCTTTTTGTTTGCCTGAAGAAGGGACCGCCTGGTTCAGAAATGTTGCTTTATTTATGTGACATCACGATGGTCAATAAAGGACATTGACCGCTATTTGCTACGGAGTGTGAGTGACTTTTTGGTTTATTACTGGTATGCAGTCACTTACATAAGGTGAGATAACAACACATTCATCAGGCTGAACTTACTATGACATTTTGGTCCAGAGGGAGGGCAAAGCATTTCTTGCTGACCCTATAAGATCATTAGCCAGTCCGAGGTAGGTGTATTACACCCAAACAAAAATGTGATATATTGCTCCCTGCCAGTCCTTGTAGCTGGTTACATTAGTTTTCTTTTTCCAAGCTGTCGTTCCACCTTAATTTCCCATAGCGATCCAGCCAGTAAGTCATGTCCTGTCCCTGTGTGGCTAAGCACATTCCTCCACTGTATCTATGGAGGGAGCCATGGTTGCCTCACAGGCTGGACTACAAATATGTCTGCCCTTGTTCATGTCCCTTACATGGGGTATGATGAGAAGACAGATGCAACTGCTTTTGCTTTCAATGCACCTCACAGGAAGTGACAAGGACACAGGATCTCTGGCAAAATCAAGTTATTTTCTGTACTTGCTGAACATGTTTTTACCCTGAAACAAAACACTAATGCAGCCAACACATCTAAGGGCTGATAAGCTGCAATGTATTACATTCTGGATCTTGGGTTTAGTTCCACTTAGTGCTGGCATCACATCCTTCCATCTAAAATGACCATACAGCATGGAGGACTCCAAAAGATCATGATGAACTAGCAGTGCAAGGACAGAAAATAATTTAATAGACTTAAACATTGCTTAAAGGGTTTGTCCATTGGTTTTATACATATTTTCTGTCTTTAGTATGGTCGGAACAGAAATATAATTGTGATATATTATATATATCACAATATAGGGGATGTTGCATATGAATATTATGTAATCGTCAATCTAGCCAACAGGTGGAGCTTTAGGATCTTTTTCACTTTTTCTTGGATCTCCTTTGCTCCTTTAGTGTAAAAAAAAACCCTTAAAAAGTTCAAGTTAAACTTTACACAGAAAGGCGTGTCAGGAGTGTCAGTGACTCCCTTATCAGATAGCTCCACCCAGTGTTTCAATCAGACAGAGTGAGGCTGAAAGCAGGCACGGCTCCGACGTCTCTTTAGCTAGCTCATAGTAGCTCTGGGAACCCTTTGCTGTGTAATAAATATTTATTTAAATACTGTATCATTTAAATATTTATTTGTAAAGCGAAGATTGTATATGTTACATACATTTTTTGGGATGATGTTCCACTTGTGGTTTGATAAAGGGGAACCTGCCTCCCAGTTTTATTGGTTCTGTAGGTTTTGTTTAATAAAATTGAGAAAAGATCATTATCTGTTTTCGATGCTCGGGCAACATTGTGGGGATGGGTATAAAACAAGATAAAAGCATCTCTTCAGTGAGGACATGGCTGCCTCCTTGAGGTGTGTTTGCAGTAATGTAGTTGGGCTTAGCGATGTTATAATTCTTGTACGTCATAATGTGTAGCTTTTCTCTCTTAGGACTGAGTGCAATTACAACATAAAAAATGGTAAATGTAAAAACAATATTTTGAAGGTAGATTTATGAATTCTCTTCTCCGTATATGCGATGATGACGCCCTGGAGGCTAAACATGCTGCATAAGACTTGAAGAGTCCGTGGTTTTTGCATTCTAGCGGGTTATTCCTTATTTACTGTCTAAAAAAACAGTAGATTTTGAATAACAAATATGGCAATCCTTACCACAGGTCTATAATTTTCTGTACACCGCTCTGAAATGGTAATTAAGCAATATTAAACAGTATCAAAAACATACTATATGTCTGCCATGTCCTCCTCTGCGTTGTCTCCTCTCCCACAATCCTTCTGTCACAGTCTTCTGTCACAGCTCCTATGACTCAGGGTTGTCTCCATTCACACACAATTCACTCCCCTCCTACTGGTGACCCTTTATTTTGTTCAAAGTTGTGTGAAGTGCTTTTGCTTCCTGGAAGAAAAGAAAGCACTCGGTATTCCAGCAGCTTTATGGGATGCCAAATAACGGGTCTTCCATCGTACGTAAGCCCTCGTCTCCTATTGGCTGTCTCCCCAGGTTTCCTTGGCTAAATCTTCAACGAACTTGTCCCAGTTCTTCTGCCAGATTTCCATGAGCTTGTCCTTGCCGTCTGCGGACAACGAGCTGTAGCTGCACGTGGCAAACAAGCAGTAAAATTGGATGTTAGTATGTTAGTACTTTCTGATGAAAATAGAGACTAGTTACAGGGAGAGGTTGTAGCTTTCTCCAAATAGAGACTAGCTACAGGCAGTGTAAGATCAGGAGTCCCAAAGATCCTATAAGATCACAAGGCCCAAATCATGAACTCACGTTAAATTCTGCATAGTATAAGGCTTATATCAGAACCTTATCTGAACTGGACCAATGCCAAACTTTTTAAATGTTTTTGATGGAGTGTGATAGGGTTAGAAATGTTTGGATTTTTTCATTGTCATCCTTGTTCTCTTTGGGGAGATTTCATCTAATTTCCTGAGTGGCCATCAGCACAGGAATGAAGGCTCTCTAGTGACACAGACAACTGTAAAAAAGCCAACTCTATCCAAGCAGGAGTTCCAGTTTATCAGGGACCTATCAGATCCTTCCCTAGCCTCTTTCCAATACTGGGAACTACTTCTCTATTCCAACAAGAGATGATAGTTGTGGAACACTGCTTACCCATGAAACCTCATGCATGATGATGGGCCTATTGGCAATGCTTCCAGGGTCGGGCAGTGGCAACAACCAGTGTTGTACTGGAGACTTGGATGAGTCATGTACATGTGAGAGGTTGCCATTAATGCAAATCTGTCATTCCATATAACTACTGTTATAACAATACAAAGAAGGATTAGACACTGCCCTTATCTGGCGGGTGTTACAAACTTACTTGAGAAAGTGAAATTCAAGAAATTTCAGTGAAAAATTGCCATTTTGGCAAAATGTTTTGGAGTCAATAGGGGTGGCAAAATGACGGTGCATTTTTATGGCTTTGAGCTTTGAAGGTGTTTCCTGTGGGTTACATGACTTCCTGCCAACTATCTTGGACCTGTTCTTGTTCCAAAAATGACCCCCCAATAGCTTCATTATTTAATGGGTTTTTTTCACATGAATTAAAAAACAGACAGGCCGTTGAAATATGTGTTTGACTTACTTGATTGAGTTTAGTGCCAGTTGTTTGAGAGTCCTCAGATCGGCCTCCATCCCCCCAAACCCCATGAACACTTCGTAGAAGTCATACGAAACCCCTTGGGCTCCAAAAATGGATGGGTCATCGGAGCTGATGACCAGTGGGTGGCCATCAGCCAGGAGGGCAGCTGCCGGGTGGTTGCGAAGGTCAGACACCAAGAGAAGGACCTGATGGAAAAATGTAATCTGATAATGGAGAATGGTGAGGGACAAGATGCATACTATACAACTAAGAGTATGTAGACACCATTCCCAAATAAATAAGATTTAGGTGTTTTCAGGGAAGGACACTGTTACGTAACAGCACTTCCAACATTATGACAACATTTTTATGTTCTAGCATGACTGTGCCCCTGTGAAAAAGCCAGCTTCATTAAGACAAGGTTTGACTAGCTTGGTGTAGAGAAACTCGAATGGCCTACAAAGAGCTCTGACGTTAACCCTATTGAACAGCTTTGGGATGAATTAGAATGCTATCGGTGAGCCAGATCTCATAACATCATAACCAGACTTCACAAATGGGCACAAATTCCCACCGACACACCCCAAAAAACTTGTGGAAAACCTTCCAGAAGAGTGAAGGGGGGGGGGGCAACTACATATTAATGCCCATGGTTTTAAGATAGAATATGCAACACACATAGGGTGTGATGGTCAAACTGATAGTCATATTGTGTATATTGGCCATATATATGTCACCTCCTGCCACCAGGATGGAAGACAACACCAAGATATCCAACACCGGTAGTTCTATCTATACAATTAGTTACCTGGTTGGAGACGGGACAGATTTCAAGTGGGACATTCATCTTCAGTGACAACTCTCTGGCCACCGGGTGTTTTAGGAGGGCATACCCATGCCCGATTCTTGATGTATTCAGCAGCAGAGCATCCAGGACATTCCGGTCCACATCCATGCCTAGCCAACCTGCCAAGATTGAGAGTGGTGACTGGAAACAGGTTATAGGTCATAGTTCTATAACCCACTCATATGGTAGATATGTGAAGAGAAACAAAATGCATGTACTGTACATTCATGTTTTGTGTCTATAATGAATTTGGTTTTCTTGTGCACTGATTCGTTTTTGAGCCGGGACAGAGAGCTTTTGTGGCGCAGGATGGCCTGATAATGTTGCAATGACAAGAATATGGTTGTGAAGAAAGTTATCTTCATCTGCTTTTTTGGTGGGGGAACAAAGTAAAATGAAGTATGTGTTGCTGCGGTGAGGGGCATTGGATTGATACTACTGGGACAGGAAATGAGGGGAAATCTCTCAAGAGTGGGCACAGATAGCAGTAAAAACATTGGAGATGATTTAACCTTTCCCTGCTCCATTCAAAACTAAAGAGAAATTGGACTGCAGTTGGCCTTTAAATCAGAATTCCACTTTTAACCTTTTAGTTAGAAATAGCCCAGTAGTTGATACAAAAAAGTGTCTTTCAGCACAATGCTCACCTCCTTTTCCTAACTAACGCCATTCCTCTTTGGGGTTGAATGACAGCCATAGGTGAGTGATTTTCACTCAACCTCATAGTTCAAGCCGACCTTTGACAATGAGACTGTCACAGGTCGGCTTAGTAGATCGGGAAGAGAGCGAACACATACCATCGCTCGCTCATTTCTCGATCTATCCCTGCAGGGAGCCTTGACTGTCACTCACAGCTCCCTGCAGCGATTCCCCCCCTCCCCGCTCCTCCAGCGCTGACTTGCGGAACGGCAGGGCGGAGGGGGCGGGCACAGCTGTCTCTGCCTCTAGATAGGCAGAGCCAGCTGTCATTCACGCAGCTAGGTGGATCTCGACAGTAATGACGGGATCCATCCCTGCTGCAGCGTCTCAGTATACCGCGAGCTGTAGCTCGCGATATGCTGAGCTTTGGGTCACAGGAGGACGCTAGTATATGTCCTCCCGTGACCCTTAGGAGAACTATGGGGAAAACACTTACCCCATAGTTCTCCTTTAACCCACTTCCTGTTAGCCCAGGCTTTCATGGAGCTGCCATGGGGGTCATCATCACGCCAACCTGGGCTCACAGTACAATATTGGACTATGTCACTCTCTACAGTATTGAAGACCACTCTCTACTGCCGCAAGGAGAAGGGAAAGAGGACCCCAGGATGTCATGTGCCCGGCAAGAAGTATAGATTCAAGGTATGTATTTATTTAAAGAAATGGACATGGGGAAAGTGGAGGGTGCCACAAAGCATTTTATAATAACAAGTGAACATTGACCTAATGCTTCCCTGCCCTCACTTGCTTACTAGTCTCTCCAGCGTGGAAGAAGTAAGGCAGGGTAAAACCTGTCTGGCTGGGGATGTTGAGGGCGTCTCGAAGATCGTAGAGTGAATGACCTCCATCTTCTTGGCCAACCTGCAAATAGACATTGGTAAACGCACAGATGGTCAGTACAAAACGCATTCAAACACCTGCAATGCATGGCAGGTACACTATATGGCCAAACACTATATGGAACTCCAAACTGGGTTCAGGGGGTTCCGTTGAAAGGAACTGTTAATGCTACAGAATGCAAAGACATTTTAGACAACCTCGTGGTGCCAGTTTGGGGAAGGACGTTTTCTGATCCAGCATGACTGTGTCTCTGGTCACAAAGCCAGCTCCTTACTGACCTCCTTTGATCAGATTGGTGTAAAAAATAAATAAATAAATAAAACCAAAATTTCACAAGAAATATTTTACCAAATCAAAGCCGGCAACGGTGTCTGGGTACTGGGATATGAGCTGAATTGCAGTACGAATGGCATCCCCAACCTTGGAAGCATTCTCATGTCTGTGGACCCAAAAGACAACATCAGTAAGAAAAGTCAATAGACATCTATACTCATCCTGTATTTATATGCAGTAAACTCCCCGTTATCCGGCATCCACAGGGATTGGTAGATTCCAGATAAATGTAGTTTCTGGTTGCTTGAGAGTTACTGTTAAAAATAAGTAACTAATGCCATACCCCATACTATACCATACCATAAACTATGTATTGACTACATATTCATTTTGAAATGTAGTAATCGAAAGCAAATTAAGAAAAATATACAAACTTATGACAAATAGACACACACTCATTTCCAGGATTATACATGCCACAGATCAGCAAAACAGAGTACACAGGGTTTTTTTTTCTGGTTAGATAAGACTTCTGGTTAGTTGAATACCGGATAACTGAGAGTTTACTGTAATATATACTACTCAACACATCACAGAATACATAGAAGTATTGTCATTAGTCTCCACCCTAGAAGAGCTTACACTCTAATGTCCCACCACAGACACACACTGTTATTATACATTTATATAGCTCTGACATATTCCATAGTGCTGTACAGGGAACATTGACTCAGTTACATCTGTGCACCTTACTGTATAACTGGTAACAAATTGTTGAGTGCGTTTGTCGTTTGTTTTGAGTTACATCAGTCTCTCACCAGAGAAGCTTACACTTTAATCTCCCAACACAGACACACACTATTATTATACATTTATATTAGACATGTGCATTCGGATTCGGAGAAACCTGCAAATCAACTTAATTCAGTTGGTTCGCCAGTTCGTCCGAATCCGAAATAACGATTTTATATGCCCGAATATACTAAATGATATTCGGGCATATAAAAATGTGTTATCAGAAAGCCATATTGGCCACTGGCGCGTTCTGCGCATGCCCGCCGCCATCCTGGAGACGTGGTGCATAACGTAACATGACGCCACGTCATGGGTGATGTTATTCGCAGAACAAGCGGCGGCCAATTCGGCTGCCAGCGTGTCCTGCGCATGCGCACCGCCATTTTGGAGTATATCTTGGCTTACACCAAGATGGTGGCGCCCACATATTCGGGTGCCACCATCTCGGTGTATACCAAGATATACTCCAAAATGACGGCACGTATGCGCAGAATGCGCTGGCAGCCGATATGGCCGCAGCTCGTTCTGCAGTTTCTCTGTGCGGTTTCGGATTTGGAGGCTCTTTGCCTCCGAATCCGAAACAGCATTAAAATGAGTTTCCATTGATGAAACGAATGAAAATGTTTGTTTTTCATTTGTTTTGTCCGAAACAGATTTTTTTGCCCTGCACATGTCTAATTTATATAGCTCTAACATATACTGCAGTGCTGTATGCAGAACACTGAGCCAGTCACATCAGTCTCTGCACCAGAGGAGCTTACACTCTAATTATTCCCCCCCAATTGCACACTGTTATTATAATGTATACATTCGTGTAGCTCTGACATATACGGTACTATAGTGCTGTACAGAGAACACTGAGGCAGTCGCACCAGTCTCTGTACCAGAGAAGCTTACACTCTAATTATTCCCCCACAATTACACACTGTTATTATAATTTATACATTCGTGTAGCTCTGACATATACTATAGTGCTGTACAGAGAACACCAGGGCAGTCGCATCAGTCTCTGTACCAGAGGAGCTTACACTCATAGATTAGATGGCCCCCCAAAAAAATGGAAGGGTGATATGTAAAGTAGATGTAAACCCTAAATGGATGGCATTTACTTTGCTAGAGCTGTGCATCAAACACAATTGCCATATATTAATGAAATGTCATTTGTAGAAATATAAGCTGAGAAAAAATTCGGTTCGGATATTTCGTTATTTCGGGATTCGGATCCGAAATTCAATTCGGTTCGGGTTTCGTATTCAAACGAAATCCGATTTTTGTTAATTTCGGATGAGCTTACAAATATTTGTTACAATTACCACATAAAACCATATACAGATATTAATTATTATTTTTTGACTTTCTGCGCACCCCTGGGACGCCACCCCCAGGGGGCACAACACCACGGGCTTCTGCCGCCCCCGGAGCCTCGACCAAGCATCGCATCCGTTCAGTCAGTAGGCAATAGTGCCAAGGAAGCTCCCCCTGCTGCCAACAAGGAGTCGCCTCAAGCACCTACCTTTACTCCTGAAGGTACTAAGCAACTGTCCGTCCCAAGGACAGTCCATGCTTTTCCCCTGTAGAACTGATAAGAACAGATACTACACTTGATCTTAGCCAAAAGGCCGAGATATTAATACTAAAGCTGAATCTCCTAGACCCGAATGGCATTCGGGATCCAAATCTCCGAATTGCATTCGGGAGCTCCAGAATGCCATTCGGGTGTGGGAGCTATATAGATATATTACCAAAGCTGAGGCTCCCAGACCCGAATGGCATTCTGGAGCTCCCGAATGCAATTTGGAAATTCGGATCCCAAATGCCATTTGGGTCTAGTAGCCTCAGTATTATATGTATATACTGTATATGGCTCCCATGTTGCAGTAACGCAAATTCGTATTCAAATCCAATTCGGATGCATTAAACTGAAAAACACATCTGATTGGCCAGAAAAGTCACATGTCCGATTCAGTTTAGTTTTTGAACAAAATTTGGACGGGATCCGAAATTCGGAAATGGAAATTCGGATTTGGATACATTCGGATGCATTGGGATTCGGAAATTCGGATGTGTCCAAATGTGGAAAATTAGTCCGAATTTTAATTCGTAATGAAACGAATCGCACATGTCGATATTTGTATTAATAAGCTTTCCTGTCTATAGAATGCCTGTAAATGTATAGAGTTACCTGTGTACGGTGTAAATGATCTTCATCCCCATGAATTCTGGGTAAGCGTTCATGAACTGCCTGGTGACATCCCTGTAAGTCTCCACCAGCCAGAAGCGGCCATGAGTTGTACCGTCCAGCTCGTATATCTGCGAGAGGAGATAGTATTATAACATTTGTTATTTGGGGCACAGGGTCATGATCAATAATGAGCGGATGTGATCACAGCACAGTCATTTTCTAATGAAGTTACCGACAGTTTCCGCCTCATTAAGCTACCGAGTTGAAATTTGCTTGAAAAAAACCAAAATAGTTTTGAAATATCTTATTAGTGTGTTTTTTTAGGGGTGAGAGGTGTATGGGGTCTATTTATAACCAATTTGCAGAGCCAATTGCCTTACGAAACTTAAATGTATTTTCTTCTTGGGTCAAATGTAGGTAATGTAATAGAGCACTTTGGCCACTAGGTGGAGCTGAAGAACGTACAAAATAAGTCGTTATTTCCTATGCTCCTCAGCTCCATCTAGTGGCCATAATGTGGTATTACATTATATACATTTGATGTGAAAAGGAAATAAATCTAACGTTGGTTTTTGCGTCTAGACACGCAGAACGAACGTTCAGAAAGATTCGTAGAGTCAATGGATCTGCAAAGTGGTTATAAAGAGACCTCTCAGTGTTCTTTGTATTTGTGTTTTCTGTGTGTGTATCTGGTCATTAGGTTTGCATTGTCTGTTTTTTTTTCTTCTTTCCTTTAAAAGTCAAAATATGGGGACATTTTGACACAACAGGTCCATGATAGTTCAAAGGAGCATCCAATACCTTTCATTCACCATTAAAAGCCCAATGTACCCTTAAAACCAACCTAAACCATCTTAATGTTTGCCTTCTGCATTAACTCCAATGTATTTTTACCAAAATCTCCTGATTTTTGCCAAAATGTCAGAGTGATGGAAGCTCTCAATATCTGCTCATCCCTAGCTCTCACCGAAGGCAGCATGGCTCGCAGTTCGACATACTGGATGTTGTCCTCATACAGTTCCCGCAGACCCTCATAGATGTAAGCTTTGAGGACCGGGGCGTAGGAAATGAGGCCGATTGCAGCAATGAATGCCCCCTCGAACCGGCGCCAGATCACGTCTTGGTTGGGGTAATCTAGCTCCGGAGTGTCTGTTAGCAGCGTCAGGTTCCGGATCAGGCTGAAATACACACGACAGGTAGGTGATTTCAAGCAGAACTCCAGACAAAATTAACACAATATAATGAATTGCCATTAGAAAGATAAAATAGATTTCTGCTGCAATATTCAGCTTCAGTCCAGAGCTTTTCCCCCTCTAGACGTCCTCAGTGTGATGGCCGGAATCATACAACCCACTTCCACTGAGCCCATGTTGTCCTGAACCTGCCCCCAGTACTGGAGTGGCGATGATATTAAAGCCCATCTGGACTTTCAATTTAAAGTGGACCTTTCACTTCAGGAGGTGTCTGCTTGTTCTTCCCAAGGTTTTCGTTGTGCGTCTTAGGGAAGGAGATGGGGGCACCTTGAATAAGCGGACCCACGCCGCTTTAAATGAGCTAAATACATTCCAGGTGCATGAAAGCAAAAGGTATTCAAAGTCTTAAGAGTTCATGTTATAGAAAGTAGAAAAGCCTGCTCTGTGTCAGCAGAGAAGAACCCTTGCTTTCTTTTGGGAAGCATTGGTCTGTCTGCATAGGTCCCTGCTGAGTCAGACATGCCCTGCAATCATCAAAGCTCATGTTCCCCGATGATTGGAGAGCTCTAGCCCTGTCCAATTTATCTGCAACAGAGATATTGCGGCGTTCATTTCACCTTATGAAATGTAAAGTGTACAAACAGATCATTTTCAATAGACCCTTCGAAAGTGAAAATCTTTTGACCGACCTGTTATCGAACTTGGTGACATCTCCCAGCGTCTTCCTATACGTCTCCAGCAGCAGCCACTCTGAACAGCCCGGGGGCAGCTGACCCACCGGAGCCGGTTTGGAGAAGATGAACCTCACCGATCCGCTGCCGGTAAAGCAGATGTAGCAGTCCTGAAGGTACGACGCGTTCTTCACCAGCCAATCAACACTCAGGATGGCGAAATCGTGCAGATGGAGTGCACCCCCTGCAGACAGAAGCATTACTGTAATGATACTAACAATAAATCATTTACAGGAAACGTATAAAATTGCAATTGCAACAAAAGCCATACTGCAATTTAACATTAATAAAAGCGACCTTTACATTTTATGCCGCAGGTGCTATGTCACCCGACGCTGCAATGCACGGCATCATGTGACGTCATGCGCCCCACCTCCAGGATGGTGGTGCGCATGCTCGGAATGTGCTGGTGGCCAAATCCAAAATAGCATAATAATGTGTTTCGTTTGACGAAACGAATGAAAACATTTTAAGTTTCTGTTCATTTTGTCTTTGCACATGTCTAATAATGTGTGCATGAGTGTGTGTGTGTGGGGGGCTTTATTTATTTTTTAGCGCTGTCACTTCAGGATGGTCGAGCAGTGAGGAGAGAAAGATCCGCCCGCTGTCAGATCCTGGCCGAGCGGCTCTCTCTCTCCTCACGGCAAGGCCATCCTGAGTGACAGCTCCCACCTCCACCACCCCACTGGCTGCAGCGCTCCATTTCTCATCAGGTCCCCGCTGCCTCTGTCCATACAGGCGGGGGAGAGCAGCGGGGATCCGAGAAGCTGGAGCCTGTGCCGCCCCTCTTCTCCCTGCCAAACCACGGCTGTGTTGGAGCCTGTGCTCGCAATGGCAACAGGGGCAAGGGGGCGCAGCCAGGCCGGCCCTGGCTGCGCCCCCTCTCAGCTGTGCCTGAGGCAAGTGCCTCACTCGCCCCATGGTAGCTACAGCCCTGCTCAAAACTATCTAGAGCAGCGTTTCCCATCCAGGGTTCCCCCAGAGGTTGTTAGGGGTTCCGTGAGCAGTGAGAAGTGCCAGATTGACTGACAGTGCTTGTGCGATTCCGGCACCAACGTCACTCAGGCCAGTGCAGCCTCTGCCCTCTACCTTTGGGTAAGCAACCACTGACAGACACCAATGATCTTTGTAGCTTTCTGTAAGGGGGGGAACTCTTCCTGACCACCACTGTAAGGGGGCCCTTCTCCACTGACCACCAACATAAAGGGACTCTACTCCACTGATCCCTAATATAAGGATGGCCTTCACCACTGACCAAAAATATAATGGGGCTCTACTCCACTGATTCCCAGTATAAGAAGGACCTTCTCCACTGACCAAAAATATAATGATTCCCAATATAAGGAGGACTTTTTTTTTACTGACCACCAACATAAAGGGGCTCTACTCCACTGATCCCCAATATAAGAAGGACCTTCTCCACTGACCAAAAATATAATGATTCCCAATATAAGGAGGACCTTTCCACTGACCACCAACAGAAAGGGGCTCTATTCCACTGATCCCCAATATAAGGAAGACCTTTTCCACTGACCAACAACATAATGGGGGCCTTTTACACTGATCACTAATATAAGGAGGACCTTCTCTACTGACCAGTAATATAAGGAGGACCATCTCCACTGACCAGAAATATAAGGGGAGTCTTCTACACTGATCACTTATATAAGGAGGACCTTCTCCAGTGACCAGTAATATAAGGGGAGCCTTCTACACTGACCATCAGTATAAGGAGGAGCATCTCTACTGACCAGCAATATAAGGGGAGTATTCTACACTGATCACTTATATAAGGAGGACCTTCTCCAGTGACCAGTAATATAAGGAGGACCATCTCCACTGACCAGAAATATAAGGGGAGTCTTCTACACTGATCACTTATATAAGGAGGACCTTCTCCACTGACCAGCAAATGTAAGCGGACACTCCACCACTGGCCACTAATGGAAGGACTACCTCACAGCTGTCCACCAATGTAAGCTGGCCCTTCTTCTCTAACCACATAAAAGGGCCCTACTTCACTGATCCCCCAATATAAGAAGGGCCTTTTCCACTGACTTGGAACATAAATAAGTCTTTCTACACTGACCACAAATGTAAGGGGACACTTCACCACTGAGCGCTAAAGGAAAGAGCACTTCACTGTTGGCCACCATGTAAGAGAGAATGTAGTGGAGCCCTTTTCCCACTTACCACCAATGAAATGGGGCACTTCAGTACTGACCACCAATATTAGGGGGCACTTCTCCACTTACCACCAATGTAGGGTAGTAACCACAAATGTTAGTGGGCACTACTACTACACTAGCCAACAGTGTAAGGGGGCACTTCTCCACTTACCACCAATGTAGGGTATGAACAGTCATATAACTCTTGTTCAGAAGTATGAAGCTGCAGTACCAATATGGTTCCTGCCTTAGAATCTCTTCCCACAATCCTCTTTAAACATAAAGAACCATGAAAATGGTATAGTAAGTTTATGGCTATCCTGCAATGGTTGAACCATCATAGCCTAACCCCATATATTTTCCCATAATCCTCTGTTACTCAAAGCATGGAGCTGGTGTTGTTTAACCATATGACCATCCTGCAGGAGGCTAAAGCTTCTGGCCAGCATGCTACAAATCGTAAAAAAACAAGACTGACCTCTACAACGGTCCTTTCTCACCTTTCGGCATCTGTCTTAAAATCCTGAACACTTTGCTCTGCTGTATAAGGCTGCGTGCCTTGAAGAAGTGCATGCTGGGTGGAAAGACCCCTGTGGCGGCCGCTTGGCTTATTTCAGCCGCTTTAATCCTCATCAGATTTTTGTTGGCCTCCTTTTCTCTCTCTCCGAGGATGATGTTTCCCCCGGCTCGGCGGCTATTCTCCTTTTCTATTAGAGCATTTCTGTCCTCCCATGGGGGGAAGCCATGACCAAGGCTGAACAGGAAGAGAAGAAGAATCCACTCCGGCGATCTCTCCATCTTATTTCTGGGGGGAAAAGGACAATTATTCTTTATTTCTATGTTCAGAAAAAAAAGTGTATCTGAAGCCAGACCTTTTTCTTTTACCCCTGTCAGGTTGTTTGACCTGCTTTGCACTGCAGTTCTTTGGACACAGCAGGTCCTATTGAGGTGTGTTAAAGATGTAGGCAAAGCAGATCAAACAGATGCCTTTTCTTGTCAGACGTGGCATGTGTCATTGGCACATCATTATTATTTGTATTATTACTAATAATCATCATCATCATTCTTATTATTTTAGATTCTAAGGAGACCTGATTTTTCTTTGCTGCATTACAGTAACATCTACAGTTGTTGTCCCTCCCCCAGCCTGGGAATGGACAGTGAAAGGAGATGCAGCTCACTGATGAGCTCATCTCCCTGTCACTCTGCTTTTCTCCTCCTATCCATGTGTTCCTTGCACTGCAGCATAACTGATTGGTTCCTTGCGCTGCTTCTCTCTCCCTCTCTCTGAGCTCTGTTATTAAGTAGACTGCAGGGGCTTGATACTAAGTCACATTCAGGTGCTTGCATTGAGAAAAAAAAACACTTTTACTGATGTATTAATGAATACAGAGCTTCATTAATTTATGTATTTTATATCTGCCTGGCGTTCAGCTTTAAACCATTGTCTTGGCAATATGTGACTGAGACACTGAAACGTCTTCAAGAAGAAAGCAGCAGGAAATGTCATTACTTTATCCCAATTAGAACTATGGAGGTCCCATGTCTGTCCTCAGTTTCCTCTTTTAAAACATGGCCAGAAAAATCCCTGCAGTGTGTCCTTTTCACTTTTCATTTTCAGCTTTTTTGGGGTTGTACAGCACAGAAACCAGCAGATTTGTTTTACAAAGTGCTGCGTGCGTTACAGTGGCCATAGTGTGACCTCATGTGAGCAGACAGACGATTGCACCGACACATATGTGAGGGCTCGTTCACACCAGATGCAGTGCGTTCCGGCCCGATTCTGGCCAGAACGCACTGCATCGCATTGCGGCTGGCTCACTTTTTTGTGTGGCATGAGGGGGCGTGTCGGGCCATTGAAATGAATGCGATCAAGAATGCTGCAAGCACTATTTTGATCGCACCGGACCAGACCGCAGGCACAATGTGCCTTGCGATCCCATGCGGCCAATCGCATTGCGGCCGGAGGGCGTGGCTACGGTGCCATTCACTTCAATGGCCCGTCACGCCCCCTCCTGCCCCACAAAAAAGTGAGCCGGCCGCAATGCGATGTAGTGCGTTCTGGCCAGAATCGGGCCGGAACGCACTGCATCTGATGTGAACCTAGCCTGAATGTCCACATGTGCATCTTTCTCTGTTCACACAACAGTCCACCTCTGCCCACAGCAAACATGTACAATGATCCTTTGGACTTCGTAAATTGTATGCAATTGTATTGGTAATTGCAATTGTAAGTTGACTCTATTAGTGTTGGGTGGAGTAGGGAAGGGGTGTTCCCGTTGAAGAGATTTAGTCCTCATTCACACAGCTAAATGTCGGCCCGTACAGATCCGTGCGGCGTGCACGGCCGTATCGGGCCATTCCCGGGAAGGACAGGTGCTGCGTGTGATTGAATGCAGCAGCCTGTTCTTCTCTATGGGAGCACGCGGCCGTATGCTCACCCGAGCTGCACATCCGTGCGGGTGTCCGCACTCGTACACAGACAGGATGGATCTGAGCAGGGACACCCGTACCCTCATGGATGTGCTGCTCGGGTGATCGTACAGCGGCGTACTCCCATAGAGAAGAACAGGCTGCTGCGTACAATCACAGGCAGCACCTGCCCTTCCCGGGAACGACCCGATACGGCCCAGCATGCAGCACGGAGCTGTACAGGCCGATGCTAAGCTGTGTGAATGAGGTCTTACCCTCTCTATTGGTCTTTAGACTTTTTTTTCTAAGGCGCTAGCAGCATATCTGGCTCTTTGGACAAATCATATTTTTAGCCTCGCCCTCCATACATCAAAATGACAAAAACTAATGCAGCTCTGTAATCATTAATATGTCATTAAATGCAAGCAGTGTAAGCTTCTGACTTTGACTAGACATCAGCCTATTGCAGTCCCTACACAGCACAGATCAGACTGGGAGAGGGAGAAGCAGCATGAGGAGCCAATCAGACATGCTGCAGTGCTAGGAAGAAGCACGCTGATAGGAGGAGAGGAGAAAGCATTGTGATAGAGAGATGAGCTTACCAGTCTGTTGCTTCTCCTTTCCCTGTCCAGTCATGGGCTGGGGGAGGGACAAGACCTGTAGGTGTTAGAAAAATCAGATCTTCTTCCCAGCAAAACAGAGCGGCTGAGCTTTGTAAATCTCAGGACTGGATGGACAAAAACATAAATCCTTTGGCAGATAAAAAGTTCCCATCTGTGTTTTTAGCTGTCTGTCTGGAGTCCAGATTTAAGCTCTGAGCGCCAATAGCGGATATACCTTTTTGGGGCAAAGAAGGTTACTCATTACATAGACTATAGACTGCCCTTTGCAGCTTAGTAGTGCTGCACAATGCTTCTACCTCTGCTTGGAGTAGGATGTTTTATGTGTGATTACCATGTATGTATATGACAAAAGGCCAGCCCTGTGCGCACGTTTCCAGCCCTTACTTACAAACAAGCATCATATGTTGGATGGACAAGTAAAGACTGAAAACGTATGACAATCACTGGGCTTTCTTCATTTGCATTGTCTGCACACTCCACTGCCAACACACACAAAATGAATAGTACGGCGACTGGGCAACACAGGGGCTCAGGGGTCAGTGCTTCTGCTTTGTGGCACTGAGGTCCAAGGTTTAGCCAGGATGCTATCTGCAAGGAGTTTGCATGTTCTCCCTGTGCTTGTACGGGTTTCCTCTGGGTATCCTCCGCGATTCTTTCTGTTTTCCTCTGGGTATCCCCCAGGTTTCCACCGGGAGTGTTTCCTCTGGGTTTCCCGCGGGATAAATCTGGGATAACTCTGGGTTTCCTCTGGGTATCCACTGGGTTTATTCTGGGATACCTCTGGGTATCCCCCAGGTTTTCTTTCGGGTACTCCGGGTTTTCACCCATACTCCAAAGACATGCTGGAGGAATATTTGGCTTCTATGTAAATCAGCCCTGGTATGAATGCATGTGAGAAAGGGCGCTTAGATTGTAAGCTCCTTGACGGCAGGGACTGATGTGAATGAATAGTATGTAAAGCACTGCGTAATTTGTCGGCACTGTATACAATACCTATAATAATAATAATTGGTAATAGAGATGGTAATCTACTACAACCTAACATGTTAGTAATCCACACAGAGCGCCGAGCGTCCTACCTTGTCCAGCCGGGAGCCTTGATTGTGATATCAGGGTTCAGTGCGGCGACTAACAGCCAGACCTGCTGGCTCAGCAAATACCCAGTTTCAGTACGAGTGGGCGAGTTCTGTGAAACGGGACTAAGAGCTGCAAAGCGCCACATATGATGTGTGTGTGCAGATCAGAAGGTGGAGCAGAAACATTCTAAATAACCTAATTTCCTCTCTACAGTATACACACTATAAATATCAGACTCGCACAGTTGGGGGGATCACAGTGGGCAGGTCATAGTCCCTGAAGTCAGGGAAAGTCAGGCACCAGCAACAAAATGAAATGAAATGGAGCAGTGATGGAGCAATTTACCAAAGGGCCTCTATGCAAGACCAATTTTTGGGCCCCCAGTTGAACTACTGGGCAAATAAAAACATTAACTGTGTATCCATTGACAGCTAGATAGATGTCTGGCGGTAGAAGTGAGCTTGCTGTAGGCTATTAAAGGTCCACTTTAAATGGAGCATACTATTAGGCCACATTCACATGAGAAAAGGCCGGCACGTACAGCTCTGTGCTGTGTGCACGGCCATATGGGGCAGCTCCCGGGAAGGACAGGTGCTGTGTGTGATTAGTAAGCAGCCCCTGTCCTTCTCTATGGGAGTACGCGGACATACGCCGCCCTACGCTCACCCCAAGTCCAAGTCCGTATGGGTGTGGGTGTCCCGGCTCAGACGCAGACAGGATCCATTCTGTCAGCGTACGAATACGGACACCCGCACGGACCTGCATATAAAAGTGTATATAAACCTAAGAACAAAAATGTCATATTGCAGCTGACTGGCCCTTAGATATGGTGGCTGCATTAGTTTTTCTTATTATAAGTTTGTTCCCCTCATTTGTCACCTGGTGATCCTTCCAGTAACACACTTCCTTTCCTAGGGTGACAATGCTCACTCTCCGTACTGTATCTCTGGAGGAGCAGGGTTGTCATCCTAGGACAGGGCTACAGAACACTGGATTCCGCTGGGATAGTTTATTGAAACTCATCTCTACCACTAGCCTGTAATTGGGTGAAACGCGTCAGTGGCGGACCTTGGGCGGGACACCAATAATGTAGTACAAGCTTCAATAAACTATTCCAGTGGAATCTGGCATGTGGCCAGCTTTACTTCTGTTTATATGGGCACATATTGGAGTGAGGAAGTGTTCCCAGCGGCAATCACCCGGCTCATTCCTTCCCTGAGCTGTGGAGGAGCGATGCTTTTTCTGTGTGTTCTTCTTAAAAGGGGAAGTTGTTGTTCACAGAGAGAATTAGGAACAATGTATCTGAAGGTGCCCATACACCTTGCGATCATCGGACTAAACTTTTCGTTCGATGATCGAACCGTCATGCGATTTTCATACGGCAGCCCCATCCTGCGTCGATCGCCGCAAGGTTCAATTAGTGGTAGTTAAAAAAAAAAACCTTGCCGAATTGCATTAATCGAACGCGCATATTTTTGTTTGCGCATGTGCAGTGTTAATCGTACAAATTTTGACTTACGGAAACGCCACCAACCTTGTGAAAATCGTACGATCGACCGAAGTTTTCTAACCTGCTGGAAAGTAAAAAGTCGTACGATTGTACAGTATTTGAGGTTGTACACTGCCCATCAACCTCTACGAATACCATACGGAAACGTGATCGCATACGAAAATCGACCGATAATCGGAAGGT